AGTTTCAGCACGCCTTATACTTGAGTTATTGTGTCTCGAAGTCAATGCTTCAGAAACATTCTGGCTATTTCCTGTCGCACTGGGATTATCTTCAAGAACTGTATACCCAAAACTAACATTCAATGAACCACCTTTAGCCTTTCCTGATAATTTGAAACTCGTCGTCCAGTTCCCTGAGCTTTTCTCCTCCTCTAACTCCTCCAATGTCAGGGGAAGCAGCCTCGTGAGGTCAATCCTATGCTTCCCCAAATCTAGTTCTGGTGCACCAAACACAGAAGCATATAGCAAAAAATGCTTCGCCTCATACTTTGCCGAATGGTGGGGCCCACTCCTACTACCATATACTGAGCATGTGTGAGTCAACTTCTCTTCAAATTTTGCCGTTCCTTGAACAATCTTTGCCGGATGAGTAACGAAAATACCATCCCGCCTCTTCCAATGTACACATAGACTAATCTCATTCAAAGTGGAGGGCAACCCTTCAATGGAATGGACTTGAAGAGAAAAGCAGCAGTTAAACCTACGGTTTCGGATATGAGTAATCGCCTTCAAGGGCTTCCAATTCCAAAAGGACCTCTTCTCTTTGTTTAACAAGTTTTCACCACCATACTTATTTTTCGATTTCGGGTCAGGTAAACGGTTCCTCCCTAGAGACATTGACGGGTTACTCCCTGCCGGAATTGAACTCTTAGGCGGTTTTTTGTCTACATATAGGGCTTTGCTTATACTCTCAATCTCTTTCAACAATTTCCGATTACCGGAATCTCCGCCCCTCTTCTTCCCACCTTCCAAATTTGACAACATCGTTTACTTTTTTACACACAAATTTCCAAATTCAAAACTGAAACACAAAAAACAATCAAAATTAAGCAAAACCCAATTCTGCAAATCCACCTAAAGGAGCAAATTTTGAGAATTCAAATTAAATTGGGGAATCCTAATTTCTCACAGAAATTGCGAATAATTGAAAATAGAATTGGAATTTAGAAATTAATGAAGAGTGAAAATTTAATTACCGAATTGAGCTAGAAGCTTGCTGGTGAATCGAGAACCAACCAAACCCCTTAATTGCACGATTCAAGTCGCGGCTTGAAATTCCGAGCTGGAATTTTGGGGAAAGGTGTTGAAGATTTTGAATTTAAAGATGAGGAAGGAACGAAATCCCAAATCCCAAATCCAAAAGAAAGAGAGAGTTTCGGAGGTTTCTGAGCAGCCTTTCTGTCGCCCAAACTCTCTCTGTCAGTCTCTCTCCCTCTCTCTCCCTCTCTCTCTCTCTCTCTCTCTCTCTCTCTCTCTGAGTCTCTCTGTTTGAATTGCCGCTGCCTCTTTCAAACGAAAAACAAAACAAAACATAAAAGGAGTCTGTAATTTAGAAGAGACCCCGGAATTGTATCGTATTTAGTTACTTACACTATATTTTCTGTATCCTTTTATTCTAGTCCTTCTTTCTTTTGTTTATTTTCCTTCTTCTGGTTCATTTTGGTATATGATTGTAAATTAGCTTGTAAAGACAAATTTAAGATTTGGGGGTCGAATATATGACATTTTTATTCACAAGAAACGGGTATAGGAATTATTTCGATTATTGATTTAACTTTGTTTCTTAAAACACTTGTATTTGAATTATTCCAATCCGTAATTTCTTTGTATTTATTAACATAAATGGAATTTAAAAAATTTGGATTTCACATCAAGATTCGTAATCCAGTACTAAAATAAATAGGGACTCAGATCAACGAAACACTCATTCTGAATAAGTAAACAACGAACAATCATTAGAGAGCCGCACGTACATTTTCTCCTTCAAGTTCTGATTTATTTTGTCTCTTGATTTTGTATTCGTCCAATTCCTTTTAAAAGTAAAAGATAAGCATGTGCATGCATAAAGGAGAAAATATTATAAAAGGTTAATAAAAGGTTATGAAATTTTCCTCCTTGTAGTTATGGGGGTCCTATTTTTTGTTAATTTTGATTTAACTTTGCCGAACTAACTAATCAAAGTTTTTGTGGGCACCAACGTAATTAGCCCAAAATAAATATTTTGCCTTCAATGAGACAAAAGGGTTGCATGAAGATGAAGGGGAAAGGAAACCAGGCTTTAGGTGTCACGTTTGGTTTTCTGAAACATTTTTCTTTTTCTTTTCTTTTTTTAAATTAATATATACTTTGCTTCCATTTTGGCAAACAACTCCTTTTTTATCAATGGAATGAGAATTTGAAATATTCTAATATTTAAATTTTTCCGTTTTTACTAATATGTAAAAATTGAAATTATTTGGATTTATAATTCTGTTTGTTTGGTAAAAAACATATAACTGTTGTACTACACAATTTATAATGGAATGTTTTAAATGTTAGAAATTCAATTGATTTGGAAAAAAGTAGCATCTACATTCATTCTCTCTTTGATTTTTAACTTTCCCAGTTAGGACTGGAATTGGAACCATCCGGAGCCATTCATTGTGTATCGTACTGTCAAAAGTCATTTGACTTTTTTATTTAAAATTAAACACAAATAGTATCTGACAAAAATTGACTGTACGATGTGTGATGAATGGCTAGGATGTTGAGATCCTTAGAATCTCACATAGTAAATCCGAAGAGGATCCTCTTCCGTTAGGACTTTCGTCATTTCAAGTAAACATGTCATAAGTTACATAAAGTGGGGCAGAATCCCATGTCCTTTAAATATTTCTATTAATTTATCATTGTTTGTGGTAAACAAATATTTATAGTCTTTGCATCAAATAAGTATTATATATTTATAGTTTTGTTTACCAAAACAAAAATACCTTTATTCTTAATATATTGGTAGCATATGCCCCACTCTTTGTGTGTGAAATTATTTTTATTTTTGTTTTTAAAATAAGAATGAGAGAGGGAGAAAAAGAGGCATGTGAATTGGAGTGAGAAGTTTTCCTTTTTATTTTTTATTTTTTAAATTAGAGGATGCTAGGATCACTCCTGGGTGAGACTTTCCAAAAGAACAGTAAAATTTTGTTTGTGTGATTTTACTTTACTACCAACGATCTTATTTTGTGGTAGAAGATTAATTTGTATTTTCACCCTCTTTTAATTGACAAAGAATATGTCATTAATATGTAGATTAGATTATAATTCTCTTTTATCTCCAATCAAATTCAAAGAGGGAGCTTAGAAGCAACAACTGACATCCACATTTTATTGTTGTTGTTGATAATACTTTGCATCTCCTTAAGGGGGTGGTGGAATGTTATTTTATTTTTTTTATGAATAACGTATATTTGTTGTACAAAAATTTTATCTTATTTATGATTCGAATAATTTTTTGTAAAAATTACACAGGAAATATACTTTGTTTGCAAGAATTAAGATAGCATTCCTCCCATAGAAAGTTGCAAGGATTATCCTTATTAGATATTTAATCATTCAGCTACCATGAGAAGTACACACCAAAAGCCAAGAAAAACAACAAAGAGACCGCCCAATTCAAATTTTTAAAATGACGCTCCACCCTGTGAGATCTATCTGTTTATCTTATTACGCCAATTATTGCCCATTTTTCTTATTTTTCAATACCCAAGTGCCATAACCATAAGCATATGTTTGATTATTGAAAACTTTTTAACTTGATATTGGTGATAGTTAAAAGCGGATACAATAGCAATTTTCACATTTAAAATGTTATTTTTACTATTTATTTATAGCATTATTTATATCATCGCTCGAATAGAGATGTGACCCATATGTATTGGTGTGCTCTACTCCACTAATTTTAAGTCGACGATCTTTGACCATATAAATTCTACATGATACTGACTATTGAGGGAATAAGTTTGTGAAGGGCAACGATGGAGAGGAAATAAGAAAGTTTTCCATCATCATTGCTCAAAACCTTCAAAGTTGTATGATACTCGTTGACACGTACATGAATAATTATCAACCATCTATACATAATGAAATTATAAAATAAATCAACGCCTGACAGTCATCCACACCCACCATCACTCCACCATACATTAACTCATAAATCGTGTACCATTTTTTTTTCTTTGGGTGTTAAAATTTGGGACCATTATTTTGATTGGATAATGTGAGCATTTTTGTATTTTTGGGTTTGATGGAAGCCATGCCTTCATCCTCATGCAGAAATAGAAAAATGGTCCATTAAGAACGAACTCGGCCCACTGGCCCAGGCGCAGGATGACTATTTTCAATCCCCTGCTTTCCGCGTTGTTTTGTCACGAGTCAAGGTACCAACATCATCTTACGCCACGTATGCGGATGCTTTTGGCCCTTTCGACCACTAACCTACACGTGGCAGGACATGAATTCCGCACCATGCATAATTCCTCAAATCAAAATTTCTCAAGAAAATGAAATTGAGATTCTCACTGTATTTTACACTTCAGGGTCTACAGATTGAGCAATTTAGACCGTTTAAGAGAAATATATTTAGGCATTCGAGAGAGAAATTGCATGTGAAATGAGCTGAAAAAAAATTAGAAATCTAATTCAAATTGAGCGGTTCAATCTATTCTATCCATTAACTTTTTTTTTTAATAAACGATATTATCTATCATAAAAAGAAAAGTAAATTTAACCTCACAATAAGTTAATAATAATATGATTCCAACGATACCATCCGCTAACTTTAAAATATCAAATCTGGAGTGAATCTTAAACAAGAAAAATGACATTTCACCAAATATCCTTATTTTCACACGATATCTAATTGGCAACTAAAAAAGTTTAAAAGGACATTTCACCAAAGAATCTTTTAACGAGTCGTCTCATTAGAATTACTTCACTTGTAACTTGTTTAATGACTTCTTCTCGCTTTTATTGTTATTGATTTATAAGTTAATAACATCACGTAATTTATAAATAGCAATAAAAAATCAAGGGAAAAAAATTGCAAATTTACAATTAGAAATGGCCAAGTTTTTTAACATAGAAAAAGGTATGAACTTTTTTTTGTTGTGCGGAAGAGGAGAGACCGTTCCAATTAATAAAGGTTCTAACAGATTTTGTGTTGTTCTGAAGCGCACCACCTTCCTTCTTTCCCTCCCCTTCTCTCTCTCTCTCTCTCTCTCCCTCTCTCTAAAACTCTGTTTCTCAAAAGCAAAAATGTCCAGCGGCGACGACCCTATGGAGGAAACAAATGGGGATTCGTTTCACCAAGCAATGAGGCAACGGTTGAAAGATCGGTCAAAGGTACGACCAAATTCGATTCCTTTTTTGCTTTTTATTGCAGAAATCGTAATTTTGATTTGTGGGTTGTGTTTAGTTTTTCCTTGTTGATTTGGGAACGCTTGGTTTTCCAGAAAGTTGCTCAGACCAAAGAGATTTTGTCGAAACAAGCGGTTCAGACCAGAGAGATCCTTTCAAAGCAGGCTGTGAAGATCGCCAAACAAGCTGAGGAGCATGAAAAGTTCATCAACAAGGTAAGGACTTCCAATTTTTATGTGGAACCAATTTCCATGTGATTGAATTTTGATTCAATAATATGTATTATATTTGCGTCTTTCTGTGAAGTTAATGGATTGGGTTTGTTAATTTTTGTGTAGGGAATTTATGATATAAGTTGGTTTTGTCGTGCTGTAGGTGACGCATTTTGTGGGGGTTCTCAGTTTCGGTGGATTTTGCTTCCTCTTAGGAGCAAGTAAGGTTTCCTGATTGATCAAATGGTTGTAATAGTTGCTGTTTTGAGAAAAACAATTACGTTGTGTTTTTGTTTCTTACATTTTTTTTTCTTTTAACAGGACCGCAAGATACGCGATATGTGTATTGCTTGTTCTATTTCATCTTTGTTCCTCTTCGTTGGATATACTATCGGTTCAAGAAATGGCATTACTACCTTTTGGTAAGCTTTGCTATTTCTTTTTGTTTTCTTTAAATGCATCCGTTTATTCAATTAATGTATCTAGACCTCTAGTAGTGAATTAAAGTATTTTAGTAAGTTGTTACCGCATGTGGATAAACAGGGTATTGGTCATATACATTGGACGATAGTGGTAACCATTCGTGTAATACGGTTAAATCATAGGGGCGGGGTGGTTTTGCCATCTCCAATACATATTTCGACTTGATAGGGGTTCCAAGATAACAAAGTTTAGTGGCAAAAATTTTGGTTGTGTTCCAAGTTCTAACTCATTTTGTTCTTCTCTCTTTATTATTGTCTTACCTACATTGACAAAGAAGAACAAATACATCATAAAAACTTGGAGATAAGAGAGGAAGCAACTGTTGGTTTGAAATTAAAAATAGTGGTCTAGTGTTACACTAGTTCCATGTCCTAATAGATGGTAGAAAGAATTTTTATGGTGCTTCTAACCTAATGCGTACAATTGAAGGCTTGGTGGAACTTTTTCAATGTTTTGTAGAAAATCGTCATACTCCTATCATCCTTCACTTATGTACATTTTACTTTTCTTTGGTTTAATTATGATGAAAACTGAGGAAGTAATGTACTTGTTTGTATGTTCTAGGACTTTTGCTACTATGCCAACACGATATTTTTGGTTGACCTGCTTCTTTATCCAAGGAACGAAAAGTTTTTCATGGTTTGCTTCTCATTTGCTGAGGTAAGCAAGAACTCATTAGTTACTTTGCTTTGTGATGAAGTGACTATTCACTTGTACAATTGTTGATTCATTCAAATTTGCAACCAGGGGCCGTTAGCATGGGCATTGATTGTTTGGCGTTGTAGCTTGGTTTTTAGTTCTCTTGACAAACTTGTTAGTGTCCTTATACATCTTTTACCCGGTGAGTCAATTCTTTCCTTACATGTTCTTATGAAGTACCTTTGAGACAATTTTGTAATGATTAAATTGTTATCTTTTTTTTTTTTGTTGGAAAATTAATACCATGGCTTCAAATTGTTATAACTTATAGGTAAAAAATTGCCTAAAACAGTTCTCTTGTGCTGTAGCATGTCCACGGAACTGCACATATCTAAGATCAGAGAGCTTTTTGTGGCGATTATATGGTCTCAAATAGATTTTAAAAATGTAGATCCAACCAGATTAGTTGATCATGCCGTAGTTGTGGCCAACGTAGTAAATGTATTTAACGATAGTCTTTAGCACAGATAGTAGTAAACTCCTTGAATGGTTAAGTACGTATTTTAGTTCGGCAGTCAGGGCCTGCAAGTCAAACCTCCAATTCATAGTTTAGTGCAATAAATGTCCGAGCTTCTCCTAAAAGTTTATGTTGCGTACGTACTCTGTAGTGAATATGACACAATAGGTTTATTTCAGGGTTAGTTTTCTTCACTATTCGATGGTGGGATCCAGCAACTTTTGCAGCGATGCATCCGGAAGGAACTTCTCGCAGAGCTTCATGGCCTTATGTAGAAAACAAATCCTACCTTTGGATATGGCTCTTTTGGGTGCCCTTGTTTGCTTACACCCTTTGGCAGGCTTTGTATTTTCTCATTGTCAATGTTTTACGTCGACAAAGGCTGTTGAGAGATCCCGAAGTCATGACTTCTTACAGGTTTTTACCACCTCTCTCTCCTCATCATCCCTTGCATTTTGGTTCTCCTCTTTCGTTTTCTCCGATTCTGATGTCATTTTCAACAGGGAGCTCTCAAAGAAGGCACAGAAAGCAAACAATGTATGGTGGCGCTTGAGCGGTTTGCTTGGGGATCAGAATCGCTTGCTCATGTACACTCTACTCCAAGCCGTATTTACTGTGGCAACAATGGCACTCACGGTCCCTATCTTCTTGTCATATGAACTGCACTTTATCTTCCAAATTCTCAAGGTTTCCGCTTCTGTGTGGAACGGAGGTAGTTTCTTGCTGGAGGTGATGCCGAGGCAAGTGATTCTCAAGGAGAAGAAGAAATCGGAAGTGCAGCCAACAGAAACTCGGGAAGATCAACCATCGGATTATGATCAAAGGACGCACAATTCAGTCGAGGCATCACCAAGTCCTCCGAACTAGTAGGCTTTGTAATTTGTAAACTTGTGTCATGAAAAGTTACGCGTGTTTTGTTAATTTTTGTATTCATAGATCTTAGCTTTTATTTGTAGAAGGTTAATGTTTGTTTTGCAGTCAGATGGGGAATGATTTGTTTGTTTGTGTACAAATTCCGAGCAAGAACCCTAGCTATTTATCTCTCGTACTTACGCTCTCTGCTGTTCATTCCTTTGTGGTTCCTCTAATTATACGTTTCCTTTAGGGACACTAATTCTACTAATTTATTGGTTTAGTGGCAAATTACCTCCAATGATTACAAGGTAATGAAGATTGAGCTGGATTCTTGGTTTTCCATTTTATTTTCTCATAAGTTTATATAAGTATTCAGTTTAAATCTGCAATTGAAGTGGATGCTCTCATTCATGGATTTTAGACCTACTCATGAAGGAGATTCGAACTTGGGTGCGAGAGGAAAATAATGATTTTAATACCCGTCTTCAACAAGTTTACTGACACACAAGGAATAAAAACAAATACAACAAAATAAATCTTATCCCACGACATCATTGTATGAATTCTAAACGTCACTGCATTTGGTTTTGCAATCAAAACGATGTGGCCCCGTTAAAATCCATATAATCAAATGGCCTCGGATCCAAATATCAAATTGACGAGGGATGATTGGTAGGTAATTGCTCATTCTAACTCCTCCATTAAAATACTATATATTACAGTCAAATGTTATTCCTCTCCAATTATAATCGAGAGGTCTTAAGTTCAAATTTCGTAAAAGACGAGTCCATAACTAATTTATTCACCACACCCTTTCAGTGCCAAAATATTAAAATAACGAATACTTGAAATGAATTTCGAAGAAAAGACGGGTATCAAACAAAATAAAAGTCCAATACATTTATATTCTGTAATCTTGTTAATACACCGGCTTCCATCTAGTATTACAAGTAATAAAACCGAAACATTACACCAATTTAATTACAAATTGCTTCCACATACAACAAATGATGGCCTACAAATCCACTCAAAAAACCGGCAGACGACCTTAAACCCAACAAACAAGAAGCTACCGGGCGCCGATGCCCGTTTCCAGGCACGTCGTCACATAAATTGTGACACGGCAGCCTACGAAAAATACCCTCATGTTGACAAAACTTGAGGGAAAGAATGAACTGACTCAGCCATCAGAACCAAGATTGATAGCATGAGCAGATAAAACAAGCACTGTACACAAAAGGTTGACGATTACAATGAAACTGTATGCACAGGTTTCAGCATATCAATGGACTTGCTATGTGTCTTTCGATATAACCATGAAACCTGATTAGAGATGAGAGACCATGATCACGAACATCAGTCAGACCGAGGGAGTAAGAAGCCAAACCCAGAGTTTTCACGAATCAACGGTGGAGGTTCAATGTCGGTTATGTCTACTTGTTGCATTGACTTTGAGATGTCGTCCACCGAGAATGGTATGCTGCATAAAAATTCATACAACATAAGCAAAAAGATAAAAACTCCAGACGGATAACCAAACACAATTCCACTGTAATTAGGGATGACGAATATCAGTACCTTGAGTCGTCATCTAACAGGAAAGAGCTGCTCACAGCATTGTTGGAGTCCTCGGTCATTAGAACTCTCATGCTTGAAATAACCTGCGTCATTAGGGAAGAATTTCAGAATACCAAAAGCAAGGACACAAGTCAAAAGTGGAGTACTTTATAAAAGACTAGACAGAGTACAGTATTTTGGTGCCATTTGAGGTCAACTTACATCTGACGAAACACTGTGTGTACCGTATTTGTCATCCCAGTACATTGTACTGATCCTGTATAACTGCTGTATGCTAAGCACCTGACGAAGAAACGAGCAATAACATCAGAATGAAGGAAACATGCAAGGAAAAGAAAAAGGTCCAATGTAAAAATGAGTGACTCAAAGAAGAGGCACGCACCGGGCACAGTTCTTTCGTTATTTCATTCAAGGTCTTCTTTGGTTTCTGATGTATAACCTGAAATTTTCAGAAAATCAGTCAGCAAATTGTGCAATAGTCAGAATTACCATTTGCTGCAATTTAAAGATCATAGAAACGAATTTTACAAGGAATCCAACAGCCTGCCTAATATGCTTCAGTTCATCCCAAGCTGAGCCTGCGTACTGTTGACAAAGAAGGTTTAAGGAAAAGACATGAGACAGTGTCAATAAAAAAAGGGTAAAAACATGAAAGAAAGCATAAAATATAGTTCCAAGTGTTGCATGGTTCTTACTTCCTCGCCTGCCCCGTAGCACCACTGTTCTAATTCAGCCAAACCCGCTTTTACATACATACTCCCCATTACTGAATGAACAACACTCGCGCCGCAAAAGAAGACTGCAGAGAATGATTAAATTAAATGCCACAAGGCCTTTAAACAAAGTGGTGGGCAGAAAAAGGGGTGGGGGACGAAGGCCACAGAGAGGAAGAGGACTGATAGGATCTACCTATTGAATAGCTGGACATTGATGAATGAAAATATCTGAGTGAACACCTTGCGCACCAAGAAGGGAGGCACCTGCAAACATGCCAAACAATAGAAGAATAAAGTACTGTTCACAAGAAAAGTAATTACAAATCTTTACGCTCTATGGGGAACTATAGAACTCACATAATTTGCTTTCATTGTCTTCAAACAACTGTCCAAGCTTTTCACAATGCTTTGCCAATGAGCAATTAAAGCTTGCTGAGCGACAGCATTAGCTTGGGCACGTCCTTTCACTAAACTTGCCCGTGATGTCCTGGGGGCCTGCATAGTACAAAAAAGAGAAATCAATGAAATTTTTCTGTTGTCCAAGTTGGTATCTACAATGCCAACGCAAATTTTCAGTTCACCTATTATTAGCAAATTCAGACACAATTCCTTCTTTTCTTTTCTTTCTTATCTTACATATGGCTATGGATCTATAAACATCAGAAAACATGCTTTTGTTCACAGAAAAAGTTAACAGCCACCTGGATACATAATCCGAGTAATGGTGATATCTCCTTCTTCAAATTGTCTCTTATCATTCCATATATCTTCTCAAGGAAGGCAGTAAGCTGCTGCTTAAACAATAATGCAGGATACTTGGCCTCAACTTGCCGTAAGTCATCCAGTCTACCAAGTCCTCGACCGGTAATAAATGAGAGCCCCCCACTTTGAGGAGAAGCCCGTAACCCCTATGAAGACAAGGGTAAAGATGAAGATTGGTAGAAAAACAAGGATAAATGCAATATGAAACAACAAACTTCTTAAATTAGAAGATAAGTAAATGTAAATGCTTCGTACCTGAGACATCCTTCCAAAAAGAGATGCTGATGACGTTCTCCGCCGTTGTGGTGTCAAGCTAGCTGCTCCACTTGCCTTAAGTGTGTGTTGGAGCAGCAATAATAAAGTTGAGGTATTGGATAACCAATAAGCTAATACGTCATTATTATCCGGGACCTGCAGTGCGTAAAACCACTTGTAACATGTTAAAGAGTATTCAAAACTTGTTCTGATATGTATTAAGAAGGTACGTCAAAGTTTGGACTAACAGGCTGTGATTTTTAAAACCACCAAGAGTTACCTCTATGGCTGAAGCTATTGTTTGAATTACACGGTCGAAAATTCCAGTCCTTTCCACTTCAAAGGACCTCCAGTGAAGAAGACATTTGTATATGACACAAGCAGCAATTGGTCTTCCCCCGAAAAAACCCAAATCTTGTGATATGCATTTGACCAGCAAGTCCTGGTTCTCCTAAAAACAAGAGGATCGCGGTAAACTAATTAGAAACGGAAAAAGAAAAACCAAGGCATCAGGGCATGCCAATAGCCACTTACTTACCAGCTGCTTTTCATTCAGAGATTTCTGTGGTTTTTCCTCTGACTCAGGTTCGCGTGCATTTGGTAGGGCAAGAGTCATTTCCTGAAGCATATAGCAAGCAGTAAGCAATACAAATAAAGCAAATAGTTTCTTATCCCCTAGAGATTTGCAAAATGTTCATTCATAAAAGCAATGACATACACATACCGATGTGACCTTGGATTCTCCATTTAGATGATTCCCATTCTCTGATGTCCTCTGCGAATTTCAAGGAGCACTTAACCAGTGAGCATAAATGACAATGCAAATAAATGCAGAATGAGTCATGATCCTAAATTCAATAGATACCTGAATAATCACTGTCTTTGATCTTGACGATAGAGACTTTCCAGTCGGTGACATAGTCAATGCTTGTTGACGAAGTACTTGATTTTCCGACTCTGTGTTAGAAAGTTTCTCCTCTAGCCTGATATGGAGAATAAATCAACTCCAATAAATATGACTTCACAGAAAAGCACTGTTATGCCAGAGAGAGAGGGAGAAAGACAAAACAAAGGAGGGCACATTTCGAGACAAGAGAGGCAGAGAGAACAGTGCGTATGAAGATGACAATTGATTGCAGGTTAAAGAGACTGATTCGTAAATGTAAAGGGGTAAAAAGGAAAAAATAAATGTAAAATTGAGTGAAGATTGGCATGAGGGTTAAGGAACTGCTCTGCCATCCAAGTTGAGCTCTTTTTACCATAATATTCTTCCAAATTATCTTTGGGACCTCTTTATATGCGTTTGTTCCCAAAAACATTTTCTATCTTTTTCCTTTTAAATCAGGTGAAAAATAAAAAACCTCAAGCAAAAACGTGAGTAGTAATTTTAAAGAGGCAGAGAGGAAAAATAAACATAGAAGTAAGTGAAGGGTGGACAACGACCAATGAAATGTACTTGGATTTGAACCTGCTAGGCATGAAGGGAAAATCTCGAGCAAGCCAGGTGTATGAAGCATAATCATTATTATAACATCCTAGAAACCTGACAATTCCATGATCACAAGTGTTTACAAACCTCTGTACAGATTCCTGAAGCTGATCCATTTTTCTGCATGAATCTTCAAATTGTTTGACCAGCTCTGCATTTCTAGCCTCAGCATCAATAGAAGCTTTCCTTGCCTCCTCCGCTGCCTGTCTTTCCGAGAGCAACAAGGCCTGTAGATCTCAATGCCTCTTTAAGTCAGCACATCACACTAGTTCAAATTTCAGATCAAGCTTGGTCCTTCGGGTTTTATTTCTAGTTTAAGTTTTAAAGTTACCTTTTAACAAAGTATTGCGCATGATATAACTAGAACAACTTTTAAGCAAAAGAACATAAGCTTAACAAAACTCAAGTAAAAAATACAGGCCCAATAGATCAGGCTTCAAGCTAACCCAGCCAGCTGGCAGTCCTAAACCTAAAATGCAAAACCAGTTGCATTTTAAATGTGGCTGTCTGCATTACAGAGACATGACCTCCACTGAATACAGCAATCATCAGGATCAAGTTTCAACTATTATTTATCTTGTTTCAGTTGAAAATGCATTATTGTTATTGCTATGGTTATGCGTTAACTGCTAAATCCCACAGGAGAAGATAATTCATTGACAGATAGATAATTATCATCCAAGTTAGAGTGGCCACCTTCAAACTCTCCACCTCAGCTGATAAAGAGTTGATTTTTTCAGTGTCTTGAATTATAACAGGAGTCTCCTTAATGACAGGAGGTGCTTCTTTAATAGCTTTCTCGAGTTCTTCTCGTTCTCTAATTGCTCTGGCATTTGCCTCTTGTATTTGTATTTGCATTGCATGCAAAGCTTCTTGCAACTTAGCAGTTTCTTGGGTTTTTTCCTCTTCTAAATCAGTCTGCAATTTAACTCATAAAACATTAATTTAGGTGCTATTAAATGATCTAGTTTCTCTCACAAACCAACAACACCAACCATACTGGTATTAAACATAAACATATATTACCCTTAATCGCTTCTCAAGTTGTAAGCGCCATGTAAGTTCTTCCACACGCTTTTCTAGTTTGTCTTTAGCTTCTTTTAAGGCCCCCGTTTCTCTTGCAGCCTGAATAGATTTAAACCACAATGTAATTGGTATGATGCTTTACATCTTCCTACAGAAACAAATCATATTAAGGAGTGAATTCAAACCATTTTGAGATTTCTGAGCTCTCTCCGGGCAACCCTACGCCTCCACCCACACTGAGTATATAATGCAGCTTTCTGGAGACTCCTATAATAAGAATACGCTACGTGGCCACGCAAATGAGTCTGGAAGCAATCAACAAGAATGATCGATCAATATTAACTTCTCCGAAACAAGATGCATGAACAGAAACATAGATGTTTCTAGATTTCCTTATGAAATTTCTAAACAATACAGTAAGAATATGAATGATAATAGGACCTGGACAAGAATCGCAGCCTTAGTTTGCTTTCTGAATCTGAATTCATTTCGAGCAGTCATTGCCCTCAACCCTGTCTGTATTGTGATTGCAGACAATCGTACTGTCAAGTAGGATTTCCTGGCAATGTATCGTCGGAAATCTTTCTGTATCTTGACAGCTGCTGCTTGTTGTCGCAGCTGCTCAAATATCTCACGAGCATATGTTCCTGATTATTTTTATAAAAACCAAGAATATAGTTATAATATGGAATACCAATGGGTTGAAACAACCAATTAATATAATGTGAGCGAGGCCAAAGGATATTATTTAAATGACAATATGATGGTACCTCTCACATATGATTGCAATTGAATGGCAGCTTTGCGTAATGCAAAGAACTCTTTGCGTGCAACATGTGTACGAATTTGCCTTTGTATAGTTCTAGCTGCATTTCCAAGTACCTCTGCTCTCCTTGCATCCAACTCAGCCATCTGACCAGCTCTTAGAAAGACCTTTGTCTTGCCTATCTGCCAAGGCGTTGAACAAAATGATTATCAGACAATAGGTACATAACTACATATACAAAATGCTTGGCAAAATATGAAAAATCAAGCAAAATATGCAGACAATAACAGCATACGTATAGAAAGTTCAAACAGGTTACACAAGCATCATCTAGATGATAGCACTAGGAACTAAGAAAAAGTGAACGCATTGCAGAAAGCTATTAGCCTACTAGGGACAGCAGATGGGAATGGATAGTCAGGTTTCCCTGTCAACTCCTTTTAGGACAGGGATGTCAAGCCCACAACCTGGGTTGATGCAGTAATGACCTCAGTTCAAGCTGGCATTGTTCAACAATAAGCTCGGGCACAAAATATAGGGTGTATAAGGGTCGTATTACCCAAGTCTGCTTAACTGACATTGCTAAGTAACATCGTCAATGAAGATAAAAACTTGAATCACCTGATAACCAGTCAATCCCAGTTTATCCAGGATCATTTGACATGCAACCTTGTCCTCGCAGCTGTTCAGGCAAAAGTAAAAACAATTCAACAACATTTCTGATGAAAATGAAATCTATCAATAAATAAAAATATATATCCATCTTTCACCTGGCGTAAAAATGTGTACTTACTTTCCTTCCAAAACTTCGGGAGCAAGAACACCAAAGCGGAGAAGAAACTCATAAAATGTACGTCGGGTAGGATATCCAGCGCAGCTGATCCTAATTGCCTCAAGAACACCCTGAAGCAAATAATAATTACTGGTATAAGCCACCCAGAAACACAGGAATTCCGATGATAATTTTTGCAGGTTATGCAGTAGAATTTAAGCACAAGAGGAATTTATAGGCAGCTCATACTCACACCACAGCGTAATTGTTGTATAATGTTAAAGTTCTCAAAAATGGCAGGCTTGAGGACACTGTTCGGCTTCACACATCTGATATAGTGAGGTTCTGTTGAATTCAAGGTCTCCATCAAAGATTGTAGTTGTAACTGCATTTTCAAGAAGATAATCTCAGTTGTTGCTCCATAATAAAAAGTTTTCAATAGTCTATCATATTAAGAGACTCAGCCGAACATTAAATTAAATCTAAATGCGTTCTGTACAGACAATTCCATACATGGTGTCTTGCAACAGACTCAGTGCTCCTCCATAAAGTGACTAAGAAAGTACATAGTGCTCAATAAATCAAACTTTTGGGTGTTATCTGAGACAATTTTGCAATGTGAAGGATAAAAATTCACTCCTGGTTTAGACTTATGGTGTTCCTCCCACTCCCTACCATAAATTTAAATCTAAAATGTTGAAACTAATTTGATAAAAATAAAAAATAAAAAATAAAAAACTATAATCCACACATAAGACGCTGTAGGGTACTAGATCCAAATAATACCTTGAAGCGTGATCCAATGGATGAAAACTTAGATGACTTGGATGATTCCTCTGGAAGTGGAGGAAATAGCCCTGCCACAAAAGAGCATTTGGAGGCTGACAACAGATCCTGGTGCTCTGCAACCACATAATCTTTGTTTTTATCAAGGAACTGATCAGCCAGATAAGTTACCTGAAAAAGGTTGATGAATGTTTAGCAAAAATAACAATAATATATAGAGGTACTGGACATGCACAATGGCCCAAACATGTATACCTCCCCTGCATAGTGAGATATGGTAAAGCTAGTACGAGAAAGCTTCGGTTTGATAAAGCGCTTGTTTTTTGTAAATGTCTGGTATAACTTCTGAGCGAATGTTTCATGTGTGGATTTAGGAAACATACTGCAAAGCAACAAACAAACATGAGTCCAACCAAAAGGGAGAATTTAAACAAGTCAGACTAGAGCGAGTTAACTAGAGCGCTTGAGTACAATTGTTCATAAAAATGAAAATTAGAGGATAAAAAAACAAAAAACTAGAGTGAGTTAACTTCTAATGAAAATAAGAACTCAGAATCCATCAACTTTATCAAAATTTTGCAGGAGTAAAGATTATCTACATACCAGGCTTCATCTAAAAGTGCAATTATCCCTCCAGGTTTCTGGAAAGAGAAAAGAAAAAATAAAAGATAAATCAAAAACTCAAGTGAAATGGAATGTGAAAACCGTAGACTTCTATTATTCTTTCAGTTGAAGGACTTAAACATAATGAGTTTGTAATCATGTAAACTATAGTAGCCATTCCGGATAATAAACAAGAACACAGCAAGTAACAATCTGTCACCTTTTCAATCAGATCCAATACATCTTGGTTATCAACAAACTCGATGTAGCTCCAATTGATTTCTTCTTTTGTATATTCTTCCTGTTCCATCTTAAAGACATGCTGCAACATGCAATTACATAAAAGATTTTGATTAAGACTGAACCAAACTATTATCATTAAGATTAGGAAGTGAGAACTATGCCAAAAGTTTCCAACCTGATTGAAATGTTGTTGCAACTTCTCATTTGTAAAATTGATACAGAACTGCTCAAAACTATTGAAAAGGAAACTTGTCAGCTGCAAGACCAGATCTTACATTGTAAACAATTTTTGAAGTTGAAAGTTTACCTATTGAACTTAAAGCTCTCAAACCCATAAATATCAAGAACTCCAATCAATGCCTTTGAGTTTGGATCTTGACCAATTGAGAAGTTAATTTTCTCCACAAGCCTGTTACATTAGAGCAAATTTAACGTAAGAACCAAAAACAGTGGTTAGAATACATGCATTTGATACTATATGACAACAGATGTTCATAGCTGAACATGAATGGAGTCAACGGACACAACAAACACGTACAAATAGAACCACTGTAAGGAAGTTGCATTACCAGTCAAACAAACGTGAATAAACAGTTTTGGCTAAGGCATCTCTGCTAGCCAATGCAGAAACAGGGTCAAGAGTCCTTGTGATGATTTCTTCTGGTGTTACCATTACACGCTTAATGAGAGCATCTTCCAAACTCTTAGGATCACACCTACAATAATAATTGACGTGTCACAGTGTAATAAAAAAACTACAATATGAGATTCAAAATGCATCGATGCAGAAATGATAAAAGGAGCATACTTAAGCAACTCAGCTGTCGTATTCAGATGGAATCTAGACTTCTCATCCTTAATGACAGAAGAGTCAATTTCCTCTCCCTTTGCAAATTCAACATTGCCAAGATGCAGAATTGCAGCTACTACCATAAAGATTGCGTCCTGAAAAAGAAGATTATTATCGAACTGAATGTAAAATCACACAATCTATCTTAAGCACATATGAGAACACTAACCTGCTCTTCCTCACTGATCCCAACAATATCCATAGCCCTTCGGGTTGCAAGATATTCTTCACCGTCATCTATTCCATCCAGCTCATAGCAACTGGATTGATTCAAGTAATGGAATTGTTTGGGGTCTCCCAACTTAAATTTATCTCTCTCCTGAAAGTATTTTAAGAAGCAACAATGAATTGTAACTAACCATGACACGTACGTATAGAACATCAAAACACGTGACAGTTGGTGAGGTGTGTGCAAACATTCAATGTCAAGTACATTTAAATACCTCAGGTGGTGAAGCACAAAGAAGGTAAAAGCAATGATAGTTTCTTTCAGGATCTGAGATTTGGCAAACTCGAGACCTTTCAAGCAAATAAGTCCTTATGGCTGCCCCGGAGATCCTCCCATTCTTGTCAAATTGAATCTCCACGAATTTACCAAACCGACTGCAATGTGCAAACAGAATAGACATTGAGAGAGTAAAATGTGAAAAGGGAAAGATGTACACCAAACTTCCTTGGCATCAGATGTTGTATAATTCATGTATCAAAATGATGCAGGCTTGAGTGGCTGACCAACACAGATTTTACCGACCAGAATAAAGCATCCAGTCAGAATTTTCTTATCATCTTAAGACAATCTCTCTTCTTTATTAGCAATAAAATACAGGTACTGCTAGATAATATTATATTAATATCTTGCATTTCTTCTTGGACATTTTCCATCATTCATTTGACAGTTCAAATGGAAGATGTGGGAACCAAATTTACACTACAATCTCTCTGGCATTGGTGAAACCATGATTCGACTTTTCAAGCTCGGGAATGAAAATACTCACCTGGAGTTGTTGTTTCTGACAGTTTTAGCATTTCCAAATGCTTCAAGAACTGGGTTGGACTGTTAATAATCAACCAGAAAATTAATTCAGGTAACAATATTCCTCCCATTTGAACATATAAACAAAAGTAAATTTTCATAATAATACAGAGGAACCACAATCTGAAGACAGAACACGGTTTCATCATACTTCTAGAACTTGCTGTTCAACTGTCCGCCCTTCTACACCAGATCGACCTCCAAGGTATGCAAGATATCGCATAAGCATCTTTGTCGTCTCTGTTTTACCAGCACCACTCTCTCCACTAACCAGAATTGAATTGCTTTTTCCCTCGTTGATCATTGCTCTGTCCATACAAAATACTCATAAGAACATGATGGGAAGAAATGTGGGGGAACTGAGAACATAATATTACGCCTAACACCATATATTTAAGTTACCTGTATGCAACATCTGCAATTGCAAAAACATGAGGGCTTAACTCCCCAAATTGGGCTCCTTTATATTGTTCCATCATATGTATGTCATACAAATGTGGTAACCTTTGAAACGGATTTACTGCAATCAAAATATTTCCAGTGTATGTCTGGAAAGATATACAAGGACAATACAATACGACCGTTAAAAACTTTTCATTTCAAATTAAAATTTCCTCGACCACTACAAACATAGAAATCTTTGTATCTTACATATATTTCATTGAGTTCATATCTGGCTGCCAAATTATTCAGAACTCCTGGTTCATGCAAATATGACAGCTTTGTCATGTCATCTACACCTCCAGGAGGAGCTTCAGTATCCTCAGGAAAGACTTTTGAGATATTTGAAACAACCTGCGACCAGATTCTCAGTTAGTCAACATCATAATACCTAGCATAAAGTATATCATGATTAGTTATACATCAAATTTCCACATTAAACTTTGATCATCTAAAAAACCAATTTCATTTGAATAGAGAAGTTTCCAGTGTAACAAAAACATATTTCTCATAACACATACGAGTAAATACATTAAGTGTGGCTCACCGTTTTCCCATTTTTGGTACGTATGTGAACTTCTTCACCATTAATTCGGAAAACTTCTCCACCAATCCATGCTTCCTTTGGGTCTTCAACCCAGACATGAGAACCCACAATAATGTTAACTGGTGGAGCCTGCAAACACAACCACGTTAGACTAGGAAAGAAAAAATGAATACAAGAAATAATTAGTGGCACACAACCTGCAGATTTCCAAAACACGAGAAACTATTGTTCACAAACAGCATATCGATGAAAATGAAACATTAGTCAATAAAACTATTTTATCGCTCAAATTTAAGATTTTATAAAATGAAAGAAGTGTTTTAGTAACTACTCTCTATCACAATGGAATAAGGTAAATAGGAATTCAATCCAAGAGTAGACCTTATACAATTGAGTTTATCATTTATAGGTAGTTCGACTATAAATAACACCAATTATACAAAGTATTTCATCAAAAATTGTTGAAATGCACCTTGAAAAAGCTGAATCAAAAAACACAACGGCTATAAAATTCTTTAGAAGACAAACTGTGAGTCAAAATTAATACTAATATCATATACTGGTGGCCGGCAAAATCCATAAAGAAATGTAACAGGGCCTGGACATAAATCTAACTGCACAGCATGGTTGCGCTCATTGCATACCAGGATTTTGAAGCACTTAAACAAAATTGAAACAGTTAATCAAGAATAAAAAAATTGTTCGCTGATTTCAAACCCGCAAAAGACCATGACATAAAAGGAAACTAAAACAAGAAATACAACTATAAAAACCAGTAGACAACAATTTACAATTACAGCAACATTGCTACAGATACCCTTCTAACATCTTCAACCTCCATTTCAATATTTGACTTAGTGTTGACTATGAAGCCACATCCAGAGTTGGTACAACTAACCACACTACTTCCGAAAGCTCCATTTCTGATATATATTGAAAGGCCGTGAACAACTATTATGCATGAAAGTTGCCATGCCAATGAACATCCTGTTAGTGCAAAATCCTTCTAGTATGACGGAGGCCAACCAAGTCCTTAGTAATTGACTGAAATGGACCACCATCCTCTCATTAATTTCAGAAACTACCTTGCCACATTATTCCGTATGGAATTAGATCCTTTTATATATGTTAAGTAAATTATTCCCTACCCAATATCTACTTCACATATCACGCGATTACGCATATGACTAAACTCAGTAGAATCTATCAAGTAAATTTGGATTGTTTGAACCACAATGCCTCTACTAGACAATCTTAACGCCATTTAGCATCTAAATCCAACAATAATCCGTTTCATCTCTTTTACTCGTTCCTCTTGTAGAGGCCATAGCTACCGATGCATATTCGTGGAATTTGAATTTCGCAAACCCTTCTCGCATCACAACCAAAAAAAGTTGACAAACAAAAAATTAAACATTTTTTGTGCCTGAATTTTGCAAATTTATTGTCTTTCCAATTCCTACATGACTTGAGCTACAAAACTAAAAACCATACAATCAATCCGGAGCCTCGGCTAATCGAACTTCAGCTAATTAAGCTAACCAACAATTTCGCTAACAAAAAAACTAAATCAAAATTAAACTTTCATAATCAGACTTCAGCTAAGCTAATCATATAAATCAAACTAATCAACCATTTCACATATTTCTTTCAAGTTACCATATCGATTTCACCGAACGATCTCCTCCGCTATGACATCCAACACAGAACCGAGCCAAACAGCAACTGGCTCGGCGTGTCAGATCGGAGCGAACCGGACCGCAAGCTTTGGACTTTCAGCCGCAATTCAGATAAACAAATTTGAATTGGCGCTGGAGAAGACGATAATGGGAAGCGAACAAAGCGGAAGAGAAAATTTTCGGCCCCTTTTCGAACCTTTTTTTTCGTTTCTCTCTCTAGAAATTGAGGTATGGTAGATTATATACGAAAAAGATTTGAAAGCTTCTGTCTCTGTCTCTCTCTAAGTTTTTGAGTCCTCTCTCCACAAGTTTTTGAAGTTGTGTGCTCTGTTGTTGCTTGCTGCTGTGCGTTTCGGACAGTTGAGATTTTTTTTTTCTTTTTTTTTTTTTTTTTTTTTTTTCTACTGGTCTCGCAGCTGAGGTCCTGGGGAGAGAAAGTAGAGAGAGAATGCAAGAAGTTGCTTCGTGAGCTCCACAAACATTGGCTTTCGGCTCTACAACCGACAGATTAGAGCTATATTTTAGCGCAAAACAAATGAAAATCTATGTTTTTGGGTAGACATTTCTTGTTAATTACGGAAAAAAACCCTTCTTCATTTTAGGAGGTTTATTTTTTTCTTTCGACTATAGTTAAACGTTCATGTGCAGGCTCCAAAAGTACGTTAACGAGCTGTTATTTGTGCTAATTGTAAATGTAAATGCGAAAATCCTGAGACAAATTAGACAATAACACATGTACAAAATAATATTTGTATTAATGTAAATGTAAAGTTACAATCTCTTTACAACTTGATCATCTGATCGATTTCCAAAATATGTAGATGTGTGATGTAGGGGTTGTTGATCCAAAATGTGTAAATACGTTAACAAACTGTTATTTGCGTTGATTGTAACGTATATCGTTTAGAGACCACAAAGGTTCGATAAACACCTCTTATCGTCAAGTGATGAAACATAGAGTTTGTTGTAAGGGCAACATGGAGCGTGGTAATATAGAGAGTATTTGGATGCACTGAGAATGAACAATAAGGTGGTTCAAAATTACAGCTGACGCGACAATGACGATCGATACTTTTGACCAGACTATATTTTTATCGTTGAAAAAGACGAAGAGTTAACAAATGGAAATAGTGAAAGGTAATGATACCTTGTAAATATCTATTTACCTACATTATTGTATATATCATATATGTTTGGTATAAAATGATAAAAGATGTCATGGAATTCAAACTTTAAAGTTATATCAAATTACGGTTATTATAAATTTTAAACGAACAAACGAATGTTTGGAATTCATAATTATCATGATTTTTTGTTAAGTAAATTACATAGTAGCCCCTCAGGTTTAAGGTCTATTACAACCACATACAACATCTTTAAAACATTTCACTTTCATACCTCACGTTCTATTTTATTTCAAAATAATACCTCCGTTACATTTTCCATCCATTAATCTGTTAAATGCTGACGTGACTGCCACATTTGTGCCACGTGGCTGCCAAATGTGTGCCACGTGGCAATTTTTAAAAAAAAAAAACCTAAATCTTCTAAATAAATTATAAAACTAAAAAAAAAAAATCAAAATAAAAAACCATACAAACCTAGAAACCCCCCGACCCACTTCTCCATCTCCTCCCTCTTCACCCTCCCATCCCTTCTCTCTCCCCAGACCCACACCTCCCATCCCTTACAAACCGTCACCCTCACCCTTCTTCTCCAATTCACCCGTGTCCTGCCGCCGTCGTCTTCCTCCTTGAAGGATTTATTTTGAAAAACATGTTCATTTGAGCAACATCATATAGCATGCAATTAACAATTAAAGGCGGAATCATGCTTGTATGCACTCAAAAACAAAACATTACCATGAAATTCAAAGCCTAGTAGATTGGTGAACCAATTATCATCTCAAAACAAAGTGAGTTGAAATTATTACCTTTGTAGATTCCTCCTTGCATAAGCAAAGGCTAATCACCCAAAGAGAGGGCCTTCATTCCTTGCATCTAAAATCTATGGATTTGGTTGGATGAATAGGTTTCTCCAAGTTCCCAAAATTGAGAACCTCTAAGTCTCTTCACCAAGGTTAGATTGTAGAAGAAATGAGTGACCTTGGAGTAGTAGGATTGCTAGATGTACCCTCCAAGGTGTTGGCCTCTTTAGAGAGAAAATGGAGAGACAATTCTCACCAATTTTCCCAAAATTAAACCCTTATTTTTCCTTAATGAATTTTAGTTATAAAGTCATTTATATAGTCACTTCTTTAAGTGACCTAAACAACCAAAACCCTAATTCATCACATACATGGCCGGCCATTTAGGGAATTTGGGCCTTTTGGGCTTTAATGAATCTTTATTCATTAAATTGTCATACAACTTAAGTTAATGGGCTTGACGTTCGAAGCCCATTGGGCCTTAAGGTCCAAAACTATCCCGAGGTCTTTAACGAACTTATTCGTTTGATTAATTAACATATTAATTAATCCTTGCCATAAATAAATGATTAAACCATTTAATCATTCTTACTCATTTCCGTTTAATCTTCAATCTCCACCTTTTATGGTGTGCGATCCATTAGGTTCCTTTTAGCGAGGTAGTGGGCGATTAAAACCATTTTACATCGATTGTGAATTGAAACTATTTTCAATTCTCCCTTTAGTGATTACACACGTTTAGGGCTTCCACAAACCATGAGTGATACCTAGCAGCATATCATGGTTACCCAAGCTAATCAGAAGAGGATAGAGAACCTATTCAGTTCGGGATTACAAATGCAATACGGTCTTTCTCTAATCTAATACTCTTGACCACATTGTTTGGTATGATAGTTTATTTACTCATGTCTACTATCCAATATGAATCGTGTGCTTATATGATTTCCTTGAATGTGATTTGGAACGCATTCCCTAATCTCATTCATACTCTGGCCAGAGATTCCAAATCATATCATAGAGTATTCTCCCTCAACTGTTTGAAGGTTAGAGATCCCTTGTTGCGCATTCACTTGTCTCCATAGCTAAGTGGCTTAACCCCAACGATGCCGTGGACACCCCGAGGGGGTGACTTTGACATAATCAAAGATCAAGGACTTAACCACAAGACAACTGTGATGCCTCAGGTCAAAGGACTACTTTGCATTATCCCAACCATGAGTTCTCATGTGACATGGAATATAAGAACTCTTCGTTGATCACGTTCAGTGAACTCATTCTCTATTGAGCACCTACGTACTTGTCTTGATGTCACACACACACCAATGACTCGAGACTAATCACTCTCCCTGAGAGAAGACATAGTACGTACTGATCTTAACGGACTGTCAACGCCCAATTGACAATCCTATGATCAGGACCGTTTAGGATGTGTCTACGAAAGAATGGTCTCATGAATCTAACTTCATTAGATTACATTCTCCCAATCATATATTCCTTGGACTTTATCGTTTAAGCATATAACATTTATATGAGACGGCTCAAATAATGTATGCCCTTTATATGTAAAACTAGATTAGTTTAACATGTGAAATGTCCGTAAAGTATCATCACATGATTGGCTTTAGGGCACATTTCCAACACTCCTAAAACCCCCTGCTTTGTTTTTCCAAATCCATCAAACAAAACAAAAGCAGCACCAATTTCACATATTTACAAAAAATTCAGAAATGCCAATTACACCCAAGGCAGTCGGGAACACAGTCGATTCGGAGCGGGGCCTGTGAGCTCCAGTCAATTAGGAGCGGTGGGTCGGATGCTGTGATCGGATCGAGAGGAAGGGGGTTCAAAAGATGCAGCCTTGGGGGATAGCCATTTGCGTGGGCGAGCTTCCAATGCACGAGGTCGGAGAGCTCGGGTTCATGGTGGGTGATTTAAGGTGGGAAGAAGAGAGTGAATTTTTTTTCCGGTTGGGCTAGGGTGGTGGTGGGTCGAGTTCGTTGGTGTCGGGGGGGGGTCGGGGGAAGGGTGGGAAAGTTTCTGGGTTTTGGTTTGCGGGGGTATGGGTTGCAGGGAGGTGTCTCTAACGTTTTTTTTTTTTTTTTTTTTTCTGGGTTGCGGGAGAAAATGAAGATGGGTAAGAAGATGGGTGCGGTGGGGTGTGTAGAGGAGGGAAGAGGGTGGGTGCAAGGGGTGGATGCGCGATGGGTTCCACGGGGAAGATGAAGATGATTTTTTTTTTCCTCCTCTTCTTCTTATGGGTTGCAAGTTGTAGGTTGGGTTTTGGAGGTGGGGGGAGGAGGAGGGAGGGAAGACGAAGTAGGCTTTGGTTTTTGATTTTTTTTTTTTTTTAGTTTTTTATAATTTATTTAGAAGATTTAGGCTTAAAAAAATTAAAAAAAATTTTGCCACGTGGCACACATTTGGCAGCCACATGGCACAAATGTGGCAGCCACATCAGCATTTAACAGATTAATGGATGAAAAATCTAACGGATGTATTATATTGAAATAAAATAGTACTTGAAGTATGAAAGTGAAATGTTTTAAAGATGTTGTATGAGGTTGTAATAGACCTCAAAACCTGAGGGGCTACTGTGTAATTTACCTTTTTTGTTATATTATGTGAGAGTAATGAAACGTGTTTGAAATCTCCATAATTCTTTATTGAAAACTTGACTAATTTGTACAAAAGCCAATTTGAGCAACTCCATTAAACCATTGACTTTCCACAAAATAATGAGACCCTTGGTGATCAAAATTCAAATACATTTATATCACCATAGTCTATAGAGGTTAAACTGGAAGCTCCGAAGGGTAATTCGGGAAAAGAAAATTTAAAGTAGTTTTCGACCAAAATATTCGTAGGAAGAGAATTACGTTTTACGACACGGCAATCCGATATCCTCTCGCCATTCGCTGGCGGTTGAATTTTGTATTGAAGCTATATACTTGGGTGGGAGTAAAGTTCCGGTGTAAACACTTGGACGGTATGCGTTGTCAGTGGATCGCCAACTTGGAAAAAAAAATTGATCAAAAAACCAAATTATAAATTAGAGCAAGACGTACTTTTAATTATACTTTTTGGAACTCAATTTTAATATTAATTTTCTTTCTGTAACTCAAAATTCGCTCTACTTTACCTTTTATAATTTATTTTGATCATATTTTACCTTTTGAAACTGAAAAGTCGTCTTTATAAATCTCAATATCTGCTCCATAATGCTTTAAATCTGTTAATTTTTTATGTAAGTTTGATTTGGGTGCACTAGGCTAACCATTTTCATTTTTATTTTTTTACCTCTTCAATAACATTTTATGACTGTTGAATGCTAACGTGTAATGGAGATTCATAATCAAATTTATTGCATATGTGGCATAGTCTTATCAAGTATGGGGTCTCATATATGTTTCAAGAGGTAACTTATGAGTTTCAAAGTGAAGAAAGAGTTCACAAAGCGGTACACATATTAAATTTCAAAAAGTAAAATGTTGATTTTTG